GCAGTATACTAATGTTTGCGAGTGTGTTGAATGTTCACCTTAATTATATATCTTTACTACCTATAGCCATAAACTAAAGAGTGAAATGGCGGTAACTTTGTCGTAAAATCACTTTGATAAAGTGTGATGAAATTGCTGATATCTGAATAATTATGAAATCCATAATTTTGTGGAAATCTTATCGTTTGTGGTGTTTTTACAAATCCATTCCAGTTGAAAAATCCAATAGACATCAACAATAGAATTATAGTGAATTTGGGTTTCATTGAGATAACTTAGATTTTTCGAACATTATCACATCATCAGATATCACTCTGTAGGTTATCATTTCAAAACAGCGGAATAACGAAAAAATTATTGATGCCTCGCTCACAAACTTACCTACTTACTACTCTGGAACACCGTAGGGAAGTTGGCGATCTGGCCCTATTTTGAAGATACTTTCATGGACGATGCTCTTCTGAAATATCAACAATTGTTCCTCCCTTGGCAGTCCCCGCGAGATTAAACCGTCGAGTTGAGGCTTTGCACCCCTTCGTGGTCACTTTAAAGACCTGCAGAACATATCTTTTCAAAGACTCGTTCATCCAACGAACAGCAAGACTCTGGAACACATTGCCAAGGGAGGTGTTCCCCGAGGCATATTACCTCCAGAAATTCAAGAAGAAAACCAATTCCTACCTTATTTTCCTTGGTTCTCACGATGTTCTCTGAAAAAACCTTGTCTCATTTCAAATGTGGGGCAGTTTATTTGAAGAAAATCATAGTTTTGATGATATGGCAAAAGCACTAAATTTTTGGAACGTGCGCCTTCGACTGTAGGTAGGTACGACGATCTCTCAGATTCTTGGTAGCGCTTCATGAGAACCATTAAAATGTTACGATCGCACAATAGCCGTAACTGTACCCTAGACAGACTCTGTAGCAGATTTCGCATTATTTTTACGAGCTAATTGTGCTGTCAAATTGACTAAACTCGAATGCTACTTTACGCCGATTATTCGGCCGTTCGCTCGCATATAATAAATATACAGTGCCTTTTTATTTTCGCGCACGCTGCTGTTACGCCAAATGAGCGGCGAATGTCTATACGGTGTTACGTAACAATGATGTGGAGGTTATGGGGCATTGTTTGCGATTTTTCGTCGACTACCAGTTCGAATTCGTCCAAGCCAGAGTAGAAAAGGAAAATTTGAAGAACACAACTGCAAGAGAAGATGGGAAGTCACTCGGATTCGGATGGACTCTGAAAAAATAAAATGATTGCTTAAAATTTGTTTCATCAGGACGCTGCCAGACATCGTTTTCGTCTTGATTAACTCTTAAAGTAAGCAATGTTATTCAATGAAAATTCAAAATGAGGGGAATTAGTAAATATATCCCTTAAAATAGTGTCATTGAAACATATTTAGCTTTCTCAGTTTACCAGGGATGGATTGAATTTTTTCTTCAGAGCTCAAATTCTCAATCATCTGTAGATCTGTATGTTCAAGACTTGGGAAAGCATGAACCAAAAGAAAAGTTGTCTTGTCGATGAAATATTCCGTTTTCTATATAGGTTGTTATTCAAGTAGGTGGCCAAACTTCGAGGGATTATTTGGGCGATTCTAAGACGAGAAGCTCATAGACATAATTCTGAAAATCAGTGGCATTTGCCAGGGGAGAGGGGCAGCTCCCGGAATACCAGTAAATGAGAAAGTAGCCTAAGTGAATTCAAAAATTCCCAAATAATAACATAATTGATATATTTCGCCAAACCAATCGATGAATTGCACTGTAGTTGTATAGGCCGAAATATATAATTATCTGCTATTTTATGAGAATGTTCCTTCTTTTCATTGTCTTCTGCAATTTATTTCTTGTTTTTTAATAAATAAGCTCAGATTTGCTCATTTTTATTGATTTTTTCAATGTTTTCTCAGAAGTCACTCAAAATCAGGTGTGCCCCCAACATTGAAATATATTTCTGGCAACGTCACTGCTGAAATTGCATAGTTTTCAAGATACAGAGTGTTCCGTGAATATCGTGAGAATCCTTTACCCAATCTTATTGAAATTTTGTCATTGTTATTTGTAGTAGTAAGGATTAGAATGAAACACCCAGGATGCGAATTTTACGCCCAGTTCATTTTTTTCAGTCACTCGTAATATTTCATTTAAGTGCCCATGTTTGAACGTTAACTAACCTGAAGATTTGATGTATGTGATGACTATTTTATATTCAATTGCAAATGAATTGGTATATAGTTGGTATTCGTCTTTTGGATAAAACTTGTCAAAAAATGATCGTGATATGAGTTATAGTAATTAAAAATTAAAATGTTGATTCACCAACTTGTCTCATTCCTATCATACTGGCCACTGAAACTTTGCGATTGTGAATACTTCTTAAAGATGTCACATTGTACCACTCTTGTTCAGTATTAGAAAACTAGTATTGCTCTTTGTTTTCGATCCATCCTATTCGTTTATCCTGTTCTCATCCCCCTTATCTTTGAATATACAGATAATTGAACATTGTCCAATATTTTTCCGATCATCGATATATAGTTACACATGTCTATAGGCATAAATACGGACCGGAAAAAGGAAATGCTCGTTCCAGTTCACTTCTCTCGCCTATGTATTTTTCCAGGCTCGCAGTGTTAACCCTTTCGCGCGTTTTTGCCCTTTTTTACACGCCCGACTATATTATTTAATAAAACATGATATACGAGGTGCGTTACCGGTGGTTATCGTACACTTCTAATTGATATTCCAACTGTTCGGAACTATTCGGTGTAATGAACTGTGAACGGTGCCCGCCCGGTGTAGGTTTTGTTTCGACGTATCATTCGTCATGCCTTTTTAAACACTAAATACGCCAGGCAAATTGTTTCGGGCCATATTTCCACTATAACGTTCCATGCCTTATTCACAGCCTTATTATTAACGATGTTTTTTCACTTTAACGTGTTGTCGGTATTTTTTTTAATTAGGCGCATAGGACCCAATTTACCTACCGATGTTTTTTCATAAGCTCAAACTTCGACATCGGACACGATACATGGATGGTGTTAACTCATGAAGGGATACTCTGTATTGTTCTTTGATCTAATGTTTAGATTTTAGGAGAATATGAAAAAACTTACCACTAGTGAAAATCGCAGTTTTTTCAAAAAACTCACAATGTTTGCCTTGTCGATTGCAAATGAGCAAAACCATCAGAGATTTTCTTGTTGAAACGAACAAGCATCGAAGGAAAACATTGGGTGAACAATTTTCGTTATAATACCTATAAGAAAATCCTTCTCTTCTCGTATTCGATTTATATACCTCTCCTCCCGCATCGTTTATTCCAATCCCCCGACGTCATCCCATATTCACTTTTTCATTCCATCAGACGTTATTTTTATTTTCGTCGGCGAAATCCCTTCTTCATGAATATTTCGTATAATAATAAAGAGGGTGCCTCTCGCACAGCCGAGGTGTCGTGTTTCGATATTTTTTGCATACAGGGCCCCAGTCACAGTCGAAAGTGAAGTGTCATGTCTCGTAGTCCCACAGGGAAAAGACCACCGCCAGACTGTTCTGTTCGTTCGCTTTCACATCCCTCTCATCTCTCTCGGTATATTATTTATCTATCGGAAACACGACAACCGCCAAATTTATAGCGAGAGATCGAGGTTATGGTGCTCTAGAAATCGATATATGTGTAGTATACTGGGTGTCCTTGAAAGGTCGGTACAAAATGATACTATAGACTCCTGAGACTATAATGAGATGATTGAACCAAACTTACCACTATGCCAAAACGCTCCGTTTTGTCCCTCCAGGGCGTCGGAATTTGATTTTTTAACTTTATTTTACCGTATATTGCAACATTATTGTCCATGAATATTGTTCTTAAAATGTTGTAGGCACACTAAAAGGACTACGATACCATGCTAATTGACACACAGGATGTTGCATGTTTGGAGTATTATAAATGGAAAATTGATAGAGATTTTTGTGAGCATGCCACTGAACAGATCTGCTGAATGTTGGTATTACCTCATGCGATACCCAATTTTCTGTCCTCCTGAAAGTTTTGATGTCATTTGGAGAAAAATAGGTTTTGATCCAAATCTGCAAAGTAGGTGTATCTGGAGGATAGAGACCCCCCTCCACTCCACTTTTGTCCGTCACAAAAGCGTCACGCATGCGTCGAAATTTCGAAGATTGCCGAAAAAGTGGAGCATGAAATAATCGAATATTCGGATGTTTCATTGTCTTCCACCACTTTATACTATTTCTTCAATCCGATATGTTATTGTAATGGACATGCACTTATGCACATTATTATAATACATTTCGTATACAGGGTGTTTGATATTTGCTACAAAGATGTTGTCGGCCTATTTGGAATATTAAAAAAGAACATTTCTCCTATATAGGCCCCATAGAATAATGTCTAGTATATATTTCGAAAAACACCCTTTCTTTATACACGAAAATGAGGAGTAATCAGCTGTTAATTCGAGGTATACACTCTTACAGATTTCCGTATCCTGATGTCCATTTTTAGAGCAACTTACCATGTTCTTGTGAAAATATATGTTTGATAAATTTCATTCATGTGGAATCTTTATCCACGTCACTGTGTTAGGTAATGAAAGTAATTTCTAATCAGAAATAGCCAAAATAGATATCATAATATATGGATTCAGACAACTGAAATTCTGCCTTTTTGATGACTCATAAATTTCAAATTCTTGTGATTGTCTATGTATTGCTTTATTAACTTGGTTTTCTTGGAATTTCATTATTTTCCATCAATCACCAATTCCGTTTCGGTTGATGCGATTATTTGTTTTATAAAAAAAACAATTATTCTCCATAGATGGATTTTTTGTCAGATCTGAACTCCATATACACCCTCGCACGAAACTCTTCCTGCTCCCCACATTGACCATCCGCATTTCCGCAGACGCGCTGATACGATATCATCATTTATACCCAAGTATTGTTTCTGATTGCAGAGACCGCCATCGTCGTCGCTATCCTACGGAGGGCCGGTCAACGATGACGTCAGATCCCCCGGCACACCTGGACCTCTTTCTCAACCCCCCGCCTCGCAGCAAAGTCTCGACGCCACGGATCCTGGTAAGTCAAAAAAAAATCATCATCTGCATCAAAGAGTACAGTCGAACAATCCATTTTCCGATTTCTAAGAATAATTCTCAGGTGCTCGTTGAATTCTGCTAGTATAATGGCTAAGCGGAAGGAAAATGAAAGTAATTAGCAGATAAAGTGAAGTGAGGTAATTTGGCAACAGATTCGATGTGTTCTGCCATCTATTGCAAATGAGGGAAAACCGCACACTAAGATCAAAATGAGGACTAACATTGTCAGTCTTACCAGTTTGCTCTACTAAAACGTGAGGTAATTGTCAAAGTCAAAAATTCCAAAATTCTGCCGGATAGTCCTAAAGGATATGGCCTGTTACATCGAAGATATTCGAAAAAAAATTATGTTGAATATTTGAACAAATAGAAAACCTCAAATTATGACAAGACTTGAGCACTCTCAATGTGGAACTTGAGGACCAATTCCTACATTAATCGAGAAGAAGATATCGTAAATAGCCAGGAAAGTAGTTGTTTTCTGTTGAATATTCAGAATGATGTGTGTATATACATATTTTTGTCTGAAGGAGAATGCAAATTCTCAATTTCAGAAATATTTATATTTTATTTTCAAACTCTTATCGTGTGTGTTCAATAGATATAATTCAATGTTCATCGTGGCATATAGCCAGGAAAGTAGTTGTTTTCTATTGAATTAACTGAAAAAGAGTAAATATTCTCATCACATAGAGAATGCGAATTCTCAATGTATTGCTTTATATAAATATATATCCTTTTTTGTATGTTCATAATTCATCTGAGAATATTCCTTTTCAAGAAGAAGTATATTTATCAGTTGTACCAACTCTGACCTCTGACCTTGTTAACTTTTATTGGTATTATCATCTTGAATGTCACTCATGTCAAGCAAGCAATATCGATCTAACTCTAACTGAAATGTCGATGCCATTAAAATCGAAATTCAGCTAACTCTGCACTGAGAATAGTATCAAAATAGGGTCAGAATAGGATTTCCAAAACTTCCGTTCATGGCATCGAGTAATGTCTCTTGGTGTTCGGAAATATAAGTATGAGTGAATAAGATATACTACAGGTCTTGAATGCGCATGCTCCATTGGACCAAGTTCAATCTCGTGAATAAATGAGCTTCGATTTTATGGCATTAGCGGTCTATTTAATAATTTATATTGAAGCGGAAAATTCATAGGTGCAATCAGAATGTTCTGTATTTTTTGGTTTTTGGTTTCGGACCTACTGCTACTGAGTAGACTGTTTTTCCACCCAGAAAACCTATAGTAATGGTGATGACAGTAAAATCTCATCAAGCTGTGGGAATCAGAAGTTCCCAATTTCCAGATAAACCACACGATTTATCAACATCCCTTATCTACCCGCCGGTACCCATGATGTCCTAATGTCCATTTAACGACTGGACATTGGCCCCCTTCTGTCCATATTAAAAGCGTAGTAGTTGTAGTTTCACGTGAAGCAAATGAACAATTATCGATTATGCCATTAGGGATGTTATCGCCGATACTAATGTGGCAGAAGAAGCGCAACTCTTCATTACGTCATATAGGTAGTGGACTTTATTGAAATAGGTTTTTTACGTTCATAAGGGGTCTTTCATTTGTTACTCTGAATTATTCGTAGATATATATCGGTAATGGTCATGTTTACTTTGCTAGAATTGGCTTGTGATCGTCTGCATGCCAGGGTAATCAATAGACTTTTCGTTCAGGACTATTCGGTTTAAAACTCATTTCAGAATACAATGGGCTACAAATATGATGGAAAAGTTAATTATTCGTTGTAAAAAATCCATAACATCTGTACTTACAGGGTCGCATCTTTATTGATTTGTAGAGAAACCTATTGTTAGACTCTAAATCAAAGAATCGAATATAGACTTCACACTTACGCTTACGGACTTACATTCACCGATGAATGACCAGCTTGTGATATACAAGGTTAGACACTATCGATTTTCTCGAAGCTAGCAAAAAATGGGAAACTTTTTGATGGTCAAACGTGAGAGCAACTTTGAATTTCGAGTTTATCTGATAATTTCAAAATGTGGAATGTACGTTATACTATATTCGATTCAATATACGGATGTGATTCCTCATAGAATGTAGAGGATGTTTAAATATTAATTAGGTTTGATCCATAAATTATCTAAAAAGCATCGTACGTTATTTATTATTTTATATTTATGATTTTGAATTAATTAAACACGCTTTTATTATTTCGAATGATAAAACCTGATTTATTATCTGGTACTTCATACAAATTCTGACTGATTTGAATGGATGTTTGATATTGAAAAAATGTGCTGTTGTTTGTGAAGGCATATAGGAATTCGATTAGTTTATCGAATTTAGAAATTGAATCAGATCATACCTGATGTGCTCATTGCTTTCGAGTGAGTGTGATATATACAGAAATATCAAGTTTCACCTGCGAAAAAGTAATAAGTGAGAGGCACTTCAAGAGGTGATGGGCCTCTCAAAACAATTAGAGAAGAAATTAAATTCAATTTTCGTGTTTTCGAGAATTTTGTATGCTGATTTCTTCTTTGAAGCGAGGCTAGAAACGGGAAATACTCATGTGGACCAGAAATTTTGTATTTTGATTTATTTCTTGAAAAAACACATTTCACATAATCTACTGGATGCTTTTTTTGTTCTAACAAACAAGTAGACATGTCACGTGGGCACACCCCTGGTAATACTTTATCAACTGTAATATGTCCAAAATACCCCATTGAGATTTCTACAAACGGGAAGATTTCATCACTATCGGTTTGAAAATCAATGAAAAATCTATTTTTTCTAGAAACTCTTGTATCGTTGTCGAACATGTTCATATTATATGAACTTCGTAAATTTCCGTTCCGTTATTTCATTACTAAAGCACTCTGTATATTTATGACAGTATATTTATGATAGTCGGACAAAAATATTCAAACTTTGTGTATACGTATCACAAAACTCCACCCAATATATATTCATGAGTAGTCAAAAAAGCACTACACATAATGCACTTTTTTCATATTTTATTCGATGCAGTTTTTGTCAGGGGACTGATTTCGTGAATGCCTTTATGGTACACTCAAGTTTCACTCTGCCACACACACAGGACCGTTTGTATAATATAGGAACGAACACACATGTTTGTGTATATATGTAGGTTAAAGCGCGACATGCCTCGTAAAACAGTGAATCTTTTATAGCCACTAGTACTTCGGTAACCACAAGGGTAGTTATACGGAACCTTTTGCGGTCGGTAGTAAATCAAACAATACACAAAATGCAACGGAGCTATTAGGCCTGCTTCTGTTTTTATGCAATATTCAGAGCATTGCGTCTTGTTGATAGTCTTTATCGAGGTTGTGGTTGGAAATATATCGACACGCGAGTCACTTAGACCCCTGCCAGTTTAGGGCAGAATGGAATACCTAATTTTTCTACAAATGATCTAGCTCACGTAACACCTTTCACTCAACACAAGAACACGGGGGAGGGTTGCGGATTGTTATGATAATGATATTCCATGATAAAGGTACCACCGAGGATGTTAACCTGTGATTGAATACTGAATAACAAGAAATCTTGTGAAAGGTGAAAAATCCTGCATTTCCATTTTTTCACCTTCAGCCATGCTGTTTGACTGAATTCTAATATCTAACATAATTTCAATTTTCAAAAATGACTTACTGTTCATATATTCCTGTGGAATCCTGTTCATGTGGCAAATGGAACACTAAATCATCAGGAAAATTTGGTAGGAATTAACAACTACCAACCATATTTCAAAATTAACTATTATATCGCTATTTTTTCAATCTTAGTAGATCGAGAATCCTGAAATTTTGGTAATAGACCCAACTCAAACTCGAATGAACATTTTTGAATGAGTTTTCGATGTTTTTGTTACTGAAATGTAATCATTTTTGATAAAATAGAGAAATAAAGTATGTATCATATAATATATAGGTATATAAGTGCCTATAGATGTTGTATCTGGATGGATAACGCTGTGATTTTCGAAACTAAATTGTGTTAAAAACTGGTATTCAACCAATCAGGGCTCAACCTCAAAAAAGAAATTTGATATCGATGATTTTTCACACGATATACGGGGTAGGGTGTCCCAGATTGTGCTGGTATAAGTTTGAGAATCAGCTCAGTTCTCCAGTATTTGAAAAATAAAATAGTAACATGTTATGATACTCTGGAATTTGAACAATTATTTTACATTCATATTTCTGAAAATGAGTATTGAATCTGAGAGTTAGACTAGTTAAAATAGAAATGGTGATTATTATTGAAATTATTAGACCGAATGATATAATGTTAAACTGTTATCATTCCATTTTAGATCATTCATACTTGGTGGTAATAAAGAAAAAATATTATCTATACTGCTTTTGTTTTAAGCAAGGAAACTTTTGGGTTGAGTTCAACGACTCAATTCGAGATTATATTTTCAGATAATTTCATTGATTTCTATTTTACTCAATTTTTTTGTTGGAAACAACCTCGGAAACAATTAATGGAAATTGTTTCATACAGAGAATATTTCAAGGATGGCAAACAGAAATTTGACGGTAAATATTAAGCGAGAAAGACAATTAAGAGAGTAGATCAGAGCTAAGCCGATTAGGGGGTGTAAAATTAACTTTCGGCGTGGCGCAGCTCTTTTGTTTCCGTTCATTTCTGGAAGGCCGTTCCTGTGTCGAACATAATACCTTCTTGACGCCCTCAACTTACGCAACTCCAAAGCTCTTCTGTCTGTGGTTTTCCGGGTTTTCCATGTTTCCGGCTCGTCGACTTCGTTCCGATATTTCCTCCAGTTCCGTTCCGAAATAATCCCCCTCTGGTTCTATCCGAATTATACAAATGACATGCCGTGCGACCAAACAGTCGCTATTATACTCCTCTTGCTCTGTGAGCTTTGCAATTTTCAAATTACCTCTAACCGCAACCGGGGGTATTTTTCTAATTTATATGT